CTGTAATCTACAAAAAGAACTTTATTTTGCAATTGTTTTTACTCAAAGTAACTTTTTAAAAAAGTAAAATTAGTTAAGAAACAAAAAGTTAAACTCTTTTTTTGTTCTTTAATTCAAATGTTATCACTAATGTATACCATTGGCATTTTCAACGATGCCGTTGGTTTGCTGATAAGAAATTTGAAATTTGTCTTATTCAACTTCGATTCAACTATATTTTATTGTTTTTTAAAGTGGTAAAAAATTCTACAGCTAAAATCAAGAATAATTTTTGGTTCACAAACAAGTAAGTTTAATGATGTTTAGGTGAATGTGTTTGGTATTCGGTTGAACACATTGTCATTTTCTCTTTTTTTTTTTTCGTCTAATTACAATATGATACCGGTGATCAATTAATATATAACTTTTTAAAAAAAATTACTCGAGAATGTTGATGTAATTAGTGTACAGGTAAAAATGTCAAATTTGATCTTGGATTGATGAAGAATGCTGTTAAAGCTTTATACAACAAGCAGTATCAATAAAATCAGTAATCTTAAACCTTTATTCTTATCAAATCTCTCATTACCGTTCAAGTTTTTTATTTTTTTTCTACTAATTTCAAAATGTAGTTAAAAATATGCATATAGCATACGGCACTGAAGCAATTTATAATATTGCTTTGTAACTACATGTTTAACACTAATTATAACAAATACACTTTGTCAATTTTATTAAGCAGAAAAGAAAAGTTGATTAGAAAATATGTTTGTATAAACAGTGAAAATATATTTACATTTAATCAATTATTCCTAAAATGTCTGTAGACGAGAAGTTAGTAAACTAATGAAACTTACCATAGAAAATTTGTAAATCTACAAGAAGTGTTATTTCGACAAACAGTCACAAGGCTAATGCTGATTTCTTCGCCACAGTTCAATTACCAGTTGTTTTTGCAAACAGCTAATGCTTAATCAACAAGAAAACCTCTTCTTTCTGCCGATTTTTAAAAAATCTAATTTATTTTTAGACTATTTATCTGACAATAAACATGCAAATAATCTTCAGTACTTCTTCTTTGTCTTTTTTTAATTATGCGCATTAAAGGTTGGAAATGTTGCAGTGGAACGTCGACTTTAATAAGCCACTTCCTGTAGACAGTTACAGTAAAACTGTCGTTAACTGAACACAATTATACAAACGATTATATAGTGTAATCTATTTTTGTTACCAATTTTCAAATTTTTAGTTGTTTAGAAATTAATTTATAAAAAAGACAAAAAAATCAAGTGATATCTATGTTCAAGCATTATTTTATTCGGGAAGTCCTCCTTGCAATTCTTCTGGTCTATATAGCAGTTGCGCTTTCAATAAAAACTAATTGTATTGAAAAAGTTTGCTACTAGTATACTAAAAATTGACAGAATTGTTTCTCGGATGTTAAGACTGCATTATTCAAAAAGTACTGTTTGCTGATGGCGTATATTAACCGTGGTTTTGTTATCATTCTCAACCTAACAAGGCAATTTTGATACTTTACAGTGCTATTAGCACACCTCACTCAGAACTTACAAACTACGATAGAGCAGAGAAAAAGAAATAAATTATATGAGTAATCTGTATTTGCAGTTATTGGAATTTAATAGAGAGTGTTTGTTTACAAAGAAATTTTTTTGTGCAATGTTTAGCTTTTGGTTTGTAGAATGTTTTAAAGCAGTTCCTTATAACAATTTTCGAGCAGAATTTTGTAGATAACCTATAATTCTTCAACTGGAACTGTCACAAAATATTTGTTGTAGCAGCAGTGCCAAAAAGATCACTTTTTTTGTCGTATAAAAGACTTAATTCTGTAAAAGCATATTGCAATTGTTGCAAGAAAGCACTCTTTGAAAGAACAATACAACAACAATTACTTGAAATTTGCAGCGACAGTATGAATCGTCTGATAGATTGGTAGCCAAAATACACTCATATTTTGATAAATTCAAAACTACATAGCTGACTTAAAAGTACGTTCCATTTTCAATGAACAATTATTATATGCATGAATGTGATGCCGTTAAAGATCTGCAACAGTTATAAAGTACTCTATACTAAGATAAATATTCAAGTTTAGTGCATTGTTGAACTTTTTTCTGTGTAATACAGTTTCAAAGTACGCAGTGCAGTGATTTTCAGGATGAAAAGTGGTTCAGCATTTAATTACTGGCTAGAAAAAGCTAACCCAATTACAACATCCAATTTAAAAAAAATGAAAATCGAGAATTCTGTCTTAATTTCCCATAAAATTTGTAATATGAAATTTCTAAAGAAATTTAAATTTAGACATCAACAGTCCATTAAAAGTGACATTTAAGAGGTGCTAAAAAAACTTTGTGCAGCTTTTGCGCCGCTATATTACTTGCCATATTAGTTGCCAGTTCTGGCTAAGACCATTTTAATTGAAGGCAGACAGATTCTTAAAGTATTACCAGTCTGATATTTAATTCATGCTGTTCATTCTGTAGAACAGAAGTTTGAACCCAACAGAAAAAAAAAAGAGGAAGTAGTAACGATCTCTAGAGAAAAATACGAATAATTTAATCACTTTTCCTGGCATTTAATTTACGCCAAGTTTGATATAACCAAGTAGAACATTTAGCCATACTACTGTTTAGACTTCGTTTACATAGTCCTTGCTTCAGCGCGACTGCTATCATTCAATTTTCATTATTCACAAAAAAAAAGAAAAAAGGACAGAGGATTGAAGACTGATCTGCCATTAAAGAGAATAATTCTCTTTTCTTTAAACTCGAGCCAAATGTTAAGATACTGTTCGTTTCAAATAATTGCTATGGTGCATCTGAAAACCATTACAGTGATACAGCAGCGACGTTCATCGTTGAGTTACCGTTTTGTCTCAAAAGTTGAAACAATTCTGACATAGTTGAGTTCTTCTGTACCGGCAGATACAGAACAATTTAACGGTTAAATTAAAAAATAGCTTTGAAGTCACTTCTAAGTTTGTCTTCTTTTGTCTCAATCCTCTTCAGTTGTCGTAAAAATTGTGGATTGACAAGAGGGGCAGCTTTAGTCTGCAGACCTTAAATATTCAAGTGTAGTCCTAACGTCTAACGTTTCCATTGGGAACAAGCAGAAGGGATCCACCAAGCACATATGCATTCATCCACAGTTAGCTGGCCTGAAGACGGTCTGTAATCAGCATCCAGGAAGCTGTCGCTATCACTGTCGCAGAAGGAGCGCTCAGCAGATACTACCCGCAAAGACTATGGAAAGCATAATAAAATCCCAGAAAGAAGTTACTGGCAATTATCCAACTTCCTTAGTTGGTCAGTCTACATATTGGATGTGTTTTGGAATGCAGTTGTATGTTGCAAATGCGGTTATGTTTTGTTGGTTGTTGTATCTTTCCTGTTTGAAGTGTTTCCTAGATAAGGCTCAAGCATGGATTGAATTCCACGTTTTTATTTTTTTATTTCTTACTTTTTTTTTGTATTTGCCAGTTGCCTTGTAGCTTGGTTGAAGTCTCGAATTTCTTCTCCTCTACTGTTTCATTAGAATTTGACTTGTTTATTCTTTTTTAGGGAGGAAAAAAAATGCTCAACAGCGCACTATACTGTGAAACACTTGCGTTTCTACATGTCAGCTTTTAGTTTTGAAATGAAATGATACAAGTCTTCTTTTTGTACACAAGTTTTCAAGGAAACTTTACTTATTCATTTGTTTGGCTTCGCTGTGATTTCCAGTGCTGCTTATAGTATTAGGGTCTTTCTGAATTCAAGTATTATTTTTTTACATCAGTTTCATCTATACCTAACAGCTA